CATATAAACTTCATTTCACTTCTCAGATATCACTGTTTGTCCCCTATATGATATATTGAACTGATTTTTTTTTTATCCAAACAATGATTTATAAAGGTAAATCAGGAATATTGGCAAGGCTGCCCAAACTTTTGCACCCCGTTGTATTTGAAGCACTAGATTTTTTTTAAATTAAGTAAACAAAAACCATATGTCTTTCAATTGCGTATCCTAATAAAATACAATTATTTGAACTAATGTTTCTGGGTTTCTACATCTTTTACAGCATTTTTATTCTATAYGTTCCTTGGTGGAGGAGATAACTTGATGTAGATTACTGTCAGTCCACTCACTGTAAATTTTTAAGTTTTAGGTATCAGGACTTAATGAAAAATTATCAACCTTTACCCATAATGCACCTCATCACGTTTGCCTCATACCTGATGTCAGTGATGATTTTAGCTGTCGCTGACTCAAAACTTGTTTTTTATTTGATGAAGTCCAGATCGTTTTAMGATGATGAACGTCATGGAGCTGAAAAAAGTTTTTTTTTTAAATGAATGTGACTTTATGTTTGCAACATGAGGTCAACTGTAAGGTGGAAGAAAATAAGCACAAGAAAAACATAAATATATTTATTTTTGAAGCATGCCTAAAACTCCAGTACAGCCAACGAAAGGAGTTGAGCATTACACAGTAAAAAAAAATAAAAAACAAAAAATTAAAATATAACTTAGATTTTGTGTCAGCTGTTTGTGAGATGTTAAGTTTGGTCCCGGGATAATGCACAAAAGACAAAAATAGAAGCAAACTCACCAAACCAGCTGAATGTTTCACTTTCGTATAGCTTATATTACTCTAAAGCACTTCAAGTCTGAACAATTAAAATACACTGCCGGACGTTACAAAAGAAAAGGTAACGGGAAAATTGGGGTGAAAAACACATTGGGTCGTTGAGCTACATAATTTGGTTACTTCAACAGTTTGCTTGAATTCAGTCAGGCCACACTCTGTCAGTGCACAAGCTGAGGGGCTCTGTATATGAAAATGTAAACATTAACTAGCTAGTTTTTTTGTTTTTTTTTTTCTTTTGAGTATGCAAAGCATTACACGTGGCGTGCCGTGACGAAGGGGGAGGACATGCAGAACCTTTAACGTTTCTTAGCCATGAACATGCCCAGGAGCAGCCCAGCTAGCAGGGCCACTCCGGCTAGCAGCCATTTCTTCAGGGACTCCTGGAACCTCCTGGCCTCTGCAGCGGCATCTCGTCCGTAAATCTCAGCAAAGCTGTCCTGTGAACATAACAGGCACAAGGAAGCAGGGTTATTATAGTTAACTAAAACTAAGTAAATAACAAAAACTGAAACTGAAAAAAACTTTTCGTTAACTGAAATAAAAAACTATAATAAAATAAAATAAACGATAACTAACTAAAACTGTATAATCTTTTTTACAAAACTAACTGAAATTATAGATAAAATATCCTTAGTTTTAGTGTTTGTCAATTTATTTGGAGCCATGTAGATCTTTTTATTTAATGTTTTTAATCGAGTAGTTTCACATTAGCTGTGGTCTGTAACAACACTTGTTTACAGTCTGCTGCTCAGCATCACCTGCCAAATGACGACAACAAAAGTTGGGAGAAAGCGTCCACTTTGGGATTTCTTTGAATATGACCGCAAGAAAAATCAAAGCAAGTGTGTTGTAGTGGAAACAGGTGATAAAATAGGTGGAATACTTCTCAAGTGAAAAACTGCATGAATCAAGC